TTTTTGGATATATGTTGATCCCAGATAATACTATTTAGTTGAGATATGGCCCTTCTACCCTGAGTGTTTCGTTTTTTTATAGCCTGATCTGATTTGCCGTCGTCTGTGATTTCTACTCCTAAATATTAATATTTATTGTTGTACTGAATGTGCTGTCCGTCGTTTAAAACTAGATTTTGTTCTTTACCACCGATGTTCATGTACATTGTTTTATCTATGTTGACTTCTATCCCCATTTTTTGTATTCTTCGATTAATTTTCGAGTCATGTATTCTAGGTTGTTATTGTTTAATTGTATACCCATGCCGCTGCATTTCCGCTTCCAGAGTTTTAATGCTTGTTCCAGATATATTTTGAAAAGTGTCGGCGCTAAGCAGCATCCCTGCTTCAGTCCTTTGTCTACTGCAAAACCTTTGGAAACATTCGTTCCTATTTTAACTTTGGCGTTGGCGTTCTCATATAGTTTTTCCACTACTGTTATGAGATTTGAGTTGATGTTCGTTTGTCTGAGAGTGTTCCATAACTTATTTTGAGGGATGCTATCGTAGGCCTTTTTTAGATCAACAAACAAAAAGTGGACTCCTTGATCTACAGCAATCTTTTTTTCTATAAGTTGGGTGATACAAAAAAGGTGGTCTATGGTCGATCTACCAGCTCTAAAATCCGCCTGTTCTTCTGCCTCCATATCAGTGTATTCTCTTTCTATTCTATTTTTTATCATTTTCCCATAGATTTTACTAATGGTACTAGTAACTGCTATTCCACGGTAATTGTCGCAATTTTGTTTGTTTCCCTTTTTATGTACAGTTGAAATGGTTGAGGTTTTAAATTCGGCTGGAACCTCTACTTTGTTTATGCAGTTTTGAAAGAGTATTGTCAAATGCTCGTATAGTTTTTCAGTTCCATATTTTATCAGTTCTGAGGGTATATTGCCAGGTCCGGGCGCTTTTTTGTTTTTGAGTGAAATACAGATATCCCTTACTTCCTTTTTCGTGATTCTTATAGGAGATGCTTCAACGCGTATGTTTTGGTTACTTTCTTTTATTTTGAATTCCATTCGGTCTTCTTGTAACAGTTTACTGAAGTACATGTCCCATGTTTCTAACGAAATTGGTGAGATTAAATCTTTTTTCTTGTCGTTGGTCCTAAGAGATTTAATAAGTTTCCAGCTTTCTGTACTTCTAGTTCCTCCTATGTACGTATTTAATTTTTGACAGTTTTGATCCCAGGATTCATTTTTTTTTCTGTCTTATCATTTGTCTCACCTTAGCTTGATGGTTTTTGTAATCAGACCAATTTGTATCTGTTTTTGCACTTAAATATTGTTCATACTTTTGTTTCTTTTGTTTTATCGCTGTGTCTATTTCTTCATCCCACCAGTATGGAGTATTTTTGTTTTTCTTTTCGTAATATCCAAGCGCTTCTTTTGCTGCAGAGTGAATACTTTCTTTAATGTAATTGTAGTGGTCTTCGATGTTATTGAAATTTATGTTTTCAAGTTTCTCGTTCAGTCTGTTTTGATACAATATTTTTACACTATCTTGATCTAGGCTGATAAGATTATATCTTACATCTTCTGCCATCTCTGAGCGAACTACTGGTTGTTCATTCTGGCTTCTTCTTGAAAACATTATTTTTGCTTTTAAGAAATGGTGATCGCTTCCACAAACTGCGCCTCTATAAGCTCTTACGTCGTAGATTTTAAGATTTGATCTTTGGCGTACAATCAAGTAATCTATTATAGATTTTAGATTCCTTGTTCTCTGTCCCCAGGTGTATTTGTGTACTTCTCGATGCTGATAGAATCCATTTGTAATACGGAGCTGGTTCTGTTCGCATATTGTGATAAGTCTGGTCCCATTGTCATTTGTTATGCTTTCTCCGTAAGGACCAACTATTTTATAGTTTTGTTTTTTTCCGACCCTGCCATTAAAATCTCCAAGCAGGATTAATTCCCTCGTATTTCCTATCGATGTTATTTCTCGGTTTAGTTTCTCGTAGAATTCTTCTTTCTTGTTAACCAGTGCATCATCGTTAACTGCATATACACCTATTATTGTTAGTTTATGACCATGTATATTGAGGTTTATTTTAATTAGTCTTTCATCTATGGCTTCCCAAGTGGTGATATATCTTCTTAGGCTTTTACGAATAATTATTGAGACTCCTTGTGCTCTTTTTTCTTTTGATATGCCGCTATAGAAATGGTCGAAATGCCCTAAGTTTTCCGACCCTGTACCTTTTTTCTTGGTTTCTGTTAACACCACGATGTCCATATTGAGCTTCTTTATTTCATGCATTACTTCATTGAGTTTTGTAGAGAGACCCTGTACATTCCATGTTCCTATATTCTTGATCCATTTTCGTAGCTTAAGTCGTCGTGTTTTATTCCATCCGTTCCGAGGCTGTAGATTTGGCTTTTTAACATTTGTACATTTTTCTGAGTATTGAGGAGTTAGCCCAATGCCTCAACCCCCAACCTGGAGGACCGGGTGATTTGTCGTCAAGGTTTTCTTCCTCTAGCCTTTGATGGTTCAGCATCTAACTACAAGGCAGCAGCTTCGCCTGTACCCTAGGCAGGGGCCCTTACAGGGTGCTATCATCCGGGCCAGATGAACCCTGGTTTTTTTACGAGGTTGTTACTCCTCCCCCTTCCTCCTTTATCCGGGCTTGGGACCGGCAACATGGCAGCTAAACTACTCAATTCGCCCAGCCGTCATGCAGGCGGAGTTACGAACTAGTTTTTGCGTTAGTGAAATATCTAGCTTTAATATTTTTATTTTTATATTTTTATTTTATAACTTATAACAATCTAAAACTGAAAAAAAAACAAAAAATGGAAAAAAACACACAATTATTTTTGAATTCACCAACCCTTGTACTATCAGTTTCTGACAATTTAGTTTGGGCTTATTTGATTTTAAAACATTGTTTTTTGTTGTTTGAGGACCTTATCCCAACCTAAAAATGGATTTATACAAAACTGTTTAATAAACTAGGACCAGTTTTATTGTGGGCGACCTCTTGAACATTATTCTGCGGTGTGAATATTTTTCCCAAGGAGTTCGAGGTTTTTGTCTTTTATAATATTTTGCTGAATTTTAAACCAAAACCCTATTATTTTTCTGTTACACATTAATTTGTTATTTATTTATTTATCCTCTAGATTTTTTTCAGTTCTTAAAAGGTTTATTTACAGGCCAAATTAGTGCAATGTAAATATTTTACATTTTTACACAGCAATTTTTATCGGCAGTGAAGACGGGAAGTCGGAATTTTTATTTCATCTTTCAATGTGAGATAAAATAAAAATGCGATGACTAACTGGAATGTTTAAGATTAGAGAAACATAATATGTCATGTTTATTGGAAATACTCGACATCATTATCACGTGAAAATCCTACCGTGTCGCCCAATTTTATATGAAATTAAAATGGTGCATGTTTTTAGGATCCGTTTATTTTTTCGAGCATGCGTATTTACAAGGTCCAAAGGCAGATTATTGTTAGTTAACGAATCTTTTATTTCAGTCTTTGTTGAAGACATCTTTGGTGCTTTCTCTAACAACAAGTTATGGTATGGAGAGTTATCCATTATTATTAGGCACGGTTCAGACAAACTTTTTAATAGTTGATTTTCAAGCCACGATAAAAAGTTTGCTTGATTCGTTTCCCTATAGTAGTCCATTAAAGCCGATTTATAGGAAAATATACCCTCTGCATCATCAATGAAGTCATTTCAATATAATTCAATATACTACCGTTTTCCATCAGCTTTAATAGATTTTACATTTCTTTTATTCTCATCTTGCCAGGAGCGACATATAGATCCATTCTAAAAAATCCAAGTTTCATCTATAAACACAAACTTGTATAGTTATTCATGTTTATATTTTTAATATAATCTCAAAAATTCTGCTCTCTTCCCAACAATATGAGACTGTTCCGTCAGTCATTGCCTTGGAATATCTTTTTGCAATCTAAAACAAATATTTTTCATTGCAATACTGAGTGACATACGAAAACAACTTAGCAGTTCTTTTTCTTTAAATTGAATCCATAAAGAGGTCAAAGTCGTATGTTCTTGTACAAAGAATAAATTTAATTTCATATTAAGGGAATTCACTTTATGATATCTAACGAAAAGTATACTTAGTTCATTCATACATACTGTAAATTATACTACGAATTTCGCTTGTATTTATTATTTCTGTAATGGTAACTTTCTCGGGCCTATTTCGGTTTGGGGGGGGGGTGATGGTAGAGGTGGATCAGTTTCTACGGCCTGAGAGAAAAAATTCACAGTTAAGCTGGATTTATAGTTTGACGCACTGTAGACGTAGACGTACTGGAGACGTAACAAACGGACTGTAAATATAATTTCAATTTATAAATCGACGGAGTGGAATTTTTGCGCATAAGTAGAAACAGCGGCTAGAGTTGGTGACCATGATATTATAATATCATTTTATTATTTATTATTATTATTTTATAAATTCTTAACCTCCATTGTAACAAATAATCAACAAAATAAAAATTCGACTATGTTAATGAGCAACTTTACAAAATTGTGGGCGTGCCAGACAGTTCATTTTGGTTGACAGCACAAAATTCTTCCTTTTGATTGGCCAGACGCAAGTAACGCACTGTAAAAGTTGAAAATTGACCAACTCTTCCGTTACAGTGCGTTTCGCTTACGTCCCGTCTTGCGTTTACGTTCATTTATAAATAAGAGTACACAAAAGTCTATGTTGATCTTTTTCCAGTGCGTCTACGTCTACAGTCCGTCAAACTATAAATCCAGCTTTAAAATGTGTAAATTTAAAGCTGCAGCTACACGCTAAAACAAGAATGTATATTTCAAGCATCTAAAAAATTTAATTTTGTAAAAAATGTTCATATTTTCATATTGAAATTGAAGATAATAATAAGAAAAACTCAAGTTACCACAAACAAAAAACATTTTAATAATAATAATTAAAATGTTATTCTATTTTTAGGGGCAGCATCAACTTCCTCCAGTCAGATTAACAAAGATTGTGCACGCCATACGAACAGTACAACGTATGATCCATCCGACAACTCTTCTAAGAGTACAACTAAGGAAAGTTTCTCAAGTAAAAGATTACCCGAAGACCAAAACAGAACTGAAGAGACGTCCCAACCATCACCTAAAAAGAAAAAAGGGGCCAGTACAAAAAATACCAGAAATACTACTATGAGTAATCAGAATGACGAGAGCCAAAAGGAATCAACGTCTTCAACATCATCACTTACAAAAAGTCCAAAAAAGGACGCAAACAAAACGATCGATGACTTTTTAAAGGTGATGAACGATATATTTGACACAGTTTTACATGACCAGAACCTTGTTCATATTATTGACGCCGAAACAAAGGATCTGTTAAAGATTTTACGATTTGCAAAAAAAGAATATCAGTACATTTGTTACAGCTTATTTACCAGAATGTTCGGCTTTCGCAGTCTTTTCACAATCCGTAGCGATTATATGCTCAATTTGACAGATAAACAAGTTATTGAGATGTTCAATTTTTTAAAGGAAAATAAATTTGTTGATACAGGTGAGTACCAATAATTTAATTATTTGTGGCATTGATTTTGGATCTAGCCATTCATGCAATGAACATGCCTCCTGATATATGATGTAGTTCAATTTGCGGTTTAAGTAAAAGTTTATGGTCGATATAGTAGAATTTACCAGGATATCTAACACATATATGAAATCATATTTTCAGCGAATAGACAAAGATAACAAGCATATTCCCCTTAGTCTCTCTTCCACATTTCTCATGCACGCTTATTAGTGAACGCCAGACGATTATTTCCGATCCAGCTTATACGTAAAAAATAGCGGTAGGTTTGCCTTATTACATATTTGAATTAAAAGATTAAATTGATTAAAAAAATTGGCGATCAGTGGCGCGGTTATATTGCCATTCGAAACTGGATGTTGATATTAAAAATGAAACACTAATTGACACAAATACTGGTACAAAATTTCTTAAATCCATGAGAAATTTATAGATTCGCATTTTTATTTGACGAAATTGTAACCTAATTTCCAATAAAACAAGATAATTTTCGCAACGTCGCCATTCGTACGATCTCTTCAATGGTAACTGCATACGAGACAGGCCGAACGCTATGCTATATATTTCTTTTCGGAGGCAACCGTGTAAGAGCAGTAACAAATGATAAGCGGTCGACGCGCCTTCAGAAACAGCGCGGTTGTAACTTACTAAGAAATGAAGCTGCTTATTCACATGAAAACGCGCCTTTCGAAAAACGCGTAGTCGCCGCTGAGCAACCGCTCGGGACTTTGTGTCCGCGCCTCCAACACAAAACGCGCGGTTGACAAAGTACATTGGAACACATCGGCCTATGCAGTTGGAAGGCGCAGTTTGTGCAGTGTGGTGTATTTTCAGTATAATATAATTTAATAATCTAAAAATATCAAAAATATGGGCGAAGAATTTAATACAGATCAATTCATTGATGAAATTCAAAAAAGACCAGCCATTTGGGACATGAGTAGTAGTGAATATAGTAATAAAAGTATTAAAAGAAGAACACTTGGGAGGAGATAGTGTTAATTTTTTGCCACAACGAAGATACCGATGAAAAGAAAAAATATTAGGTAAGAACTTTTTTATTATTGTTTTTTACAATTCAAATCATGCTATTTTGCCAATCCACTTTGCCTTCATTAACGAAATAATGCATAAATTTATTTCGTACATTTTCTGTCACTCTTCCAGTGCGTCGAGTGAAGGATTGCTGTAGATTAGTTAGCGGTGCTGTATAAAGCGTCTCTTCAAACGTAGAACCATCTCTTTGCCTAACATAATTGTGGAGTACGCAAATAGCTTTCACAATATCTTCAGCGAAATTAATAATTACATCTAACGGTCGATGTAATATTCGCCATTTGTTGTACATGATACCAAATGTACATTCTATATACCGTCTTGCAAGAGTTAAACGATAATTAAAAATTTTTTTTTCGTACTTGAGTAATTTTCCACCAAATGGTTTCATTAAATTTTCCATCAGAGCAAAAGCTTCATCACCCACTATTACATAGGGTACAATGGACCCACCTGTTATTGCAGTTGGTTCGGGAATGTTCAGTGTCTTCTCCATAAGCATTATGTACACTGTAGATTCTTGAAATACTCCCGAGTCGCTATTTTTCCCATATGCACCAATATCAACCCAGGTAAAACAATAATTTGCAACACACAATGCTAGTAGTAGTAGTGAGAAAAAGTGTTTATAATTATAATATAGTGAAGCAGACTGTGCCGGTTGGAATAACCGTATATGTTTCCCATCGATTGCGCCAATGTAGTTAGGAAACTTAGCGTGTTTCTCCAACCCGTTAGCAATTTCTCTCCATTTATCTGCTGTGGGTCTTTCCATTACTACAGTTTTTAGTTCTCTCAATAACACTTTACATACTTCATGAATTATTCCTGCCACAGTAGACCTTCCAATCTTAAAAGAATAATGTAATTCACCCATAGAATATCCACTTGCCAAATATCTGCAACAAAGTAACAATATTTTATCTATTACAGGAGCATCATTACAAAAAAAAATGGAAGAGCATAAGGGATCACTATGTCAAACAAGACAAAAAAAAACAAGCTGCTAAAATTGGGCTCCGGCGCAAAACCAACAAGCACGTATATTCACTATAATAGGTTGAGGTTCCTGCAAAACTCAATTCAAAAAAATGTTACTGAAAGTAACTTCGGCCCAGAAGTACATGCAGAACTTCCAATATCTGAAGTGGAAAATGGTAGTGTGCAGAATTCGTCTTTAGAAGCGACTGTTTCTACGCCTACAGGAGAACGTCAAAAAAACCAAAAAAATTAAACTTCATCCGGCTGATCAGTACTTTGCTAATATATTAGAAAAAAGTTTAGCACAAAGACAAGTGCCAGACAAACAGGATGAGCAAGATGAAGATAAATTATTCTGTTTGTCTCTTTTTAAATAAATAAAGAAAATACCCGAAAATAAACGTTTGAAAACAAAAATTGATATATATATATATATATATATATATATATATATATATATATATATATATATATATATATATATATATAGCCGCTATACACAGACGCCCGAGCCAGAGAAAATTTACCCAAGTACATCTAATTATATGAGTCCAGCACCGCCATTACCACACACTCAGCAGTATTGCCCGGCTATTCCATCATCTCAACCTAGTTATACACCTGGACGTGGGACATATAGTAGTTACAACGATTCCGTTTATCCTCCAAGTAATGAACAATTACAAGATATGAGTATGACATCACCAGCTTCCACAGTTGCCACTTACTCCTCACAGGAATCCGAATTAGATTTATTTACTGACAATTAAAAGTATTATATCTAGTTGTTTTGGAAAATAATCGGAATGTAATTTTAAGATAGTAAAACCTGCAATTTTTTTATTTTTATTTTTTATGATTCATTAAAATACGTTAATATAATTACCTTAGCGTTATTATGAGTTTTTCTTCTGGTGAAATACAATATCATGTCTGACAATATCATGTCATAAGTGCTAACAGTGCATCAAATGATGTCGTCGACATCCGAAAGTAATTGAAAAATTTAGGTCCATGTTGCCTGAGATTTGGGTAGAGGGTAATGTATAAACTATTCGTTAATCGGTTTCTTAGAATTGGATGCACCCAATACCTCCTTCGTCTTTGCTGACGTCGTTTCATCCTTTTATATAACACCCAAAAGCACACCGCTGATTCAATGTCCATCGTCGATGAAAACTTCTACTATACACTACTATTTTGTAGCGCTACATGTGAATACTACCGAAAAGTGCGACAAGCAGTCAACGCGTGTTAAAGGCGCCTCGACCGCTTGGCATCTGTGGTCACCCTAAGTGTAAAGATTGAAATTTGATATGCCGACTTTTATTATTATTATGGTCTTTGAAAATAGGCCAATACCTATAGAAAAAAACTGTATTGGCCATTATTCATCAGTTTGAATAGATTGGCTGTACTAATGACAGATGTAAAAAATGTTGCCCATCACATCAACCTCGAGAAAAAAAATTTCTCAAGAACAAGAAATTACAGAAATTCAAGTTTGTGAACATACATTAATATGTTTACACAACACATGTTATCATTGAGCGAACACTTTGAGAAATATTTTCCCGAAGATATGGAGCAATATGACTGGGTCAGAAACCTCATCCACGCCATCGACACTTTCAACAGAGGAAGACAACTGACTTAATTCCAGCCTAAAACTTTAATATGACAGTTGTAGTAATTAAAAACCAGTACAGGTCAAACATAAACTTAGAAAAAGAAATGAGAGTGGCAATTTCCAACCTTGAGCTCCGGTGTCATAAACTGTGCTCAAAAAAGCAATCACATCCCTCACATTAACTAGCCAGTTATCCCTGTTTCACTTTTTGCCTATGTTTTGATTTCGTTCTTAATTTCTAATAAATAAATGTTCAAATAGTTCAAATAACTTTAACCTGTTACTAGGATAGTACTAAAATTGGTAAGTATTATTGGGGGTTGGGTTGAGGAGGCGTCGCAAAAAAATAGCAAGGTCCGAAGGGCGTCACAGTACGAATAAGTTTGGGAAGCCCTGCTCTAGTCACATTTTGGCATTCGATTCCGACAGGACATTTATTAGTCTCTGTAGATATTCTTCCGGTTCATTCAGTACCACAATGTCGTCTGTATATGTTAGGTAATTGATCAACATTCCGTTGAAATTAACACCCTCCGAACGTTACTTCAGAGGCGTTACTACGTTACTACGTTATGCTTAGACGTTAAAAAGAAGCAGAGGCAGGAGGCATGCTTGACATAATTGATATTGCCATTTGCAGTACGAACGCGCTCATGATTCCAGTATATATTGCAGGTAATAATTATGTCTCATCCATTGAGCCCTATCTCTTGAAGGATTCGAATAATTTTGTCGTGCTTTATATGTATAATTCCTTCCGACAATCAACAAAGGAAGCCTAAAATTTTCTTTGCCCTTCCAAATATCTTTCCGGCGTGAACAGCGTGAACCCCAGAATTGCTTTCCCAATGCCTTTCTCTTTCTAAAAATATTAATAATGGTTATTCATAAAAATGAATAAAATACTCTTGCATTTTGCAGATATTAAAGAAGATGGTATGCCATCAGTGCTGAAACAACTGACTGCAATAGATGTTAAAAATATTGGTTTACGCCTCAACATTAAACCCAAACGTTCCAAAGATAAGATGATACAAGCTTTATTACTTAAGTGTACTAATCAGCCTATCGCCAAAACCGATATTAGTGATATTATCTGGAAGGAAATAAACAATAAGTTGGGGATGTATGCTGTAAGGATTAACGACTCTTTTAGAAAACATATTAATCACGTTTACCTATTAGCAACATTCACAAATAAAAGATTTCAAAATATTGAAAATTTCGTACAAAGGGATTTAAAACGCGATTTTCCGGATTTCGTACCTGAAAACTATAAAGTTTTCAGTGATAGAGAACAATTTCTGAGGTAAGGGATTTATTAATACATTGTGTTAATTTTAGGATTGAGCATTCCTCACTGAAATATACATTACATATTACATATGCATTATATCCACCGTATAAATGTCTCCAGTTTTTTGTAGGTACTTTCTAACGGTATTTCAAATCTCCCCATTCAACATTTTCAAACAGTCTCGTACTAACCTTCGAACAACAAACATATATCAAAGAAATAATTAGTACAATGCATACCTTATCATCCTTATCACATAGTAATTAATTCGACATTAGAACAACGACATTAACTGTTAAGGTTAAATAAAACGCAGGTTTGTAGGTAGAAAAGAACTCAGCGTGAGAGTCTAAAGAAAAGCAAGCAGAGCCCCTAGAGCGAAGTGCTGTAGGAGGGTCCGTGAAGGACCGACTTCGACTGCCGTGAGATCCGAATAATCCCATATTTAAAGACAATTTAATATTTATGTGAGATTTTCGGACCTCTTGGCCAATAGAAAATAGAATAAAATACAAGAAGGTGGGCGTCAAGGTGCGTGTTAGTTTGCCACTAAAGGCACCAGGACGACATCCCCCTCCCTTTGGAGATTATGTGGCTGGGAAAAGGTAATTTTTATTGAAAATGTTTAAAAACACACAAATACAAAATACAAATGCACAAGAAAATATATGAAAATAAACGTACTTACAGTTTTAAAAGATATTAATTGAAAAATGTCCTTATTGATCGCAACACTACGCAGGAGGAGGTCGGTGGTGGTGACAGCATCTGCAGGTCTCGAAGGTATCTGCACATCGAAGGCTTCAGGTCTGCAGAAGACCTGGATATCGGCATGTTAGTTTGATATGCTAACATCCTATGCTTCTCCCCGCTGTTTTCTTGAATCCAGCACACGGTGGTGGATTCATCGATGTGCCTTCTGTGCAGGCGGGTCGTAGGTTCGGATTTTAATCCGTGTGTTGGGCGCCATGTCGTACCGGGAGGATGATACGTTGGAAAAATATCATCAATTATACCATTCCGGTCGCTCTAAAGTTCAATCTTGTCTTGAAAAAGACGAGATCTATTTGTTTTATAACTGTTTACTAACAAATGACGGAGGTTGTGCCAGAGAAATACGTAGAAGGTTGACTATTGCTAGAACAGCCATGATGAAACTGATAGCTAATTGGAAAAATTCTAGCATAACAATACACACAAAACTAAGGCTGGTAAGAGCGCTCATTTTTTCCATAGCCACATATGCATCCGAAACGTGGACCTTAAAGAAAGCGGATAAAAACTGGACGCTTTTGAAATGTGGGTATACCGCCGCATGTTGAGAATATCCTGGATTGATCATCGCACTAACGTATCGATATTAGAACAACTTAAAGTAAAGGATAGATTGCTTAAACAAATACAACAGAGATATTTGCAGTATTTTGGACACATTGCTAGAAGAACAGGCACTATGGAAAAACTGATAGTCGAGGGTAGAGTTAAAGGAAAGAGACCCAGGGGAAGATCTCCAAGCCATTGGGTAGATCAAACAAAATATTGATTAACCAAGGGTTACATGAAGCAGAACAACTAGCCCAAGACAGAGAACAAAATAAAATATTTAGTTTAAAAATTTAATAAAAGTGGTCTACTGTTGATCTTCTTACTCTAAATGCACTTCTTCTACCTCTTTATATTTGTCATTTTCTTATTTTTTATCTTAAATTTTAAGATTTTTCGTCCCTTGTGCTCGTATGTTTTGTGTTATTTCTTCCCTAAACTCTTTAATTAACTCATTAATAGATCTTTAACATTATATTCGACGTGTTCGTTTCATTATCCCAAACAAACCATTGATAATTAACTTGTCGATTTTTTCTAAAAATTTTAGGTATGCAGATGCATGTGAGCTCAAAAAAACTTTAGGAGCGATTAAAAATCATGATGCTGTACAACTACAAGAAATTGGCAAGAAAGTTCATGAAACTTTAACGACTTTGAAACGAACGTAAGTAAATGATAGTTTAAATTTTAATTTTTAAAAACGAAATAGTACAATCTCTCACACTTGCACCTGCCGCCACACTAGTTGTGCTCTATCATAAATATGAAATATTCGTATACTTAATGGGAACTCATTTTTTATTAACTGCCCAACACACAATAATTTGTCGAAGTATCATTATGCTTCGTCAAGATCGATGAATACCAATTGAACGTTAGTTGTTTCGTCGGTTTTTTTTTCATTGATTGTCTTACAATGAAAATAAACTGTAGCTGTTGTTGATGTGCATTGAATTATTCCCTGCATTTTATGTCACCATCATAAACTAAACTGAATGTTATTTATTAGAGTATAAGATATATTCCGGTATAGCCGGAAGAGCAAATATATGAAAATATTTTCATTAAATAGGTCACTGCAAATCTCCTTCATTCCAATTTTTATGATTCAGTTACTTTTAGTTCTCGAGATATGTCTAATTTCCTATTTACCTTCCATGTAGCTATTTGCCGGTCCATTTTCTTCTCCTAATACAAAGAACCGCGGAGTTGCACTGACATACAATGAGCTCTGCTGTTTTTTCTTTAAGATGACAAAATCTGTACAGGTCATCATCTGATAATTATATCAGTTTCAATTGCCTATTGCCTACTATGGCTTTGACTGTTTTCCTGTCTTTGTTTATTAGGTCTGTCGTAAATTTTGGCGAATGTTCTGTAATGAACTGTTTCGCAAGTCTGAGAGAGCTGTCTCTGTCCTGGTGAATTCCTCCACCATTCCAGAGATTTGAGACTTTCTTTGCACTTCCTTGTAGCTGTACTTGTTACTGACTTTGCAACGCCGCAGAAGGGTTCCTATCCAATGAATGGCATTGATGAGCCTTGTTTGGCCATTTCATCTGCTTTTTCATTGCTTTCATGATCCTCGTGCCTCGGTACCCAGGTTACCGTAATGCTATGGTCTCCTAGTTTATTTAAGGCACACACACAATCCCATACTAGCTAAGAATCGATCTCTACAGAATTAAGTGCCTAAAGCGCTGCCTGACTATCTGTGAAGATGGCAACTGAACAGAGCGTTCTTTCCTGTCTTTCTATTTCTTCCACGCAGTGATGGATTGGAAAACTGTCACATCGTTAGATAAACTTATCGGAAAATGTATCCCTTGATATGTCCCTACTATGCCGGCTCCCACACCCCCCGATATTTTTGAGCCATCCGTTTACCAGGTAGCAGCAGCTTCTATGGGTACACCTTTATTCCAGTCTTCCTGCCTGGTCTTAATTTTGAACTTATTGTTAAAGCTATTTCTCATAGCTGTTGCATCGGTAAGTTGCTCCATCACAATATCGGCTTTTAGCTCCTCGATTAGCTTTCTGTTGTCAGCACCATGCATCTGGCTTATATGTCGCTGATTATGGATTAATCTGTGCATCACTGATCTGGCTTCGCTCTGTATAAAGTTGTGAAGTGGTGGTAGATTCAGCAGGACTTCCAACGATGCACTAGGAGTTGTTTTTATGGCCCCCGTTAGACACAGACATGCTAGCCTTTGTGTATTACCTATCAGCCTTATTGCTCCCACTTGCTGCGTCTTTGTCCACCACGTCACCGAGCCGTAGGTTATCATGGCTCTAATAACCCTTGTGTATAACCATAGTCATTTTGGAATTGATCCCAATTCTTACCGCATATTCTTCTACATCTGCCTAGGGACATAGTAGCTTTCTGTGGTGTGGGTTTCAGAATGTGAGTATTCCATGTAAGCCTATGATCAAAATACACCCCAAGGTATTTTGTTTCTTTGGCAAATGAAATCTCTGTTCCTCATAGCACCGCTATTTTGAGGTCTTGTATTGCTGTTTTTTTTTGTGAAGTTGACGATTTGTGTTTTCTGAACATTGACTATCAGTCTCTCTTGTTTCTACCAGTCGTCAACTATATTTAGGGCTGCTTGCATTCTCTCAGACACCACCTGAGCAAATCTGCCCCTGAAAACGTTGCCCAAAATTTTGGTTGCACAAAGTAGAGGAGACAGAACTCCTCCTTGTGGACAGCCTCCACCGACTTTTGTTTTGATAGTTGTTTTACCCAGAGTGGGCATTAATGTCATATTCTCCAGGGATGCCCTTATCCATAGGCATATTACAGCAGGTGTGCCTTGTCTACTCATAACTCCTATCAAAGAGCTGGTAGTAACATTATTAAATGCCTCTTCATCTTAAAAAGATGCCATTGCTATATCTTTGTCTTACATTGACTTTGAGATAAGCCTATTTAGATCATCCAACGCAGGGTCCGTAGATTTACCAGGTTGGTATGCATATTGACGATTACTTGGATGATTATCTTTTAGCCGAAACTTATTTATAGCCCATCTAATTCTGTTTGGTCTTATGATTGCTGCGACTATATCCCAATCTATAGACTTTGTCCTAGTGAGCCTTTGGTCTATGTTTGTTTACCTATTTGCATCATCCATAATTGTTGAGCCCGGAAATTGCGTGTTTATCAGTTCTCTAAGACTTTCCTCTTTTTCCCTCTATTTGATGACATGTTAATAATAAAAAAATGTATTTCTGTTTGATTTACGTAAAAATTGTTTTAATTTTTTTTTTGTTTTTAGTAACGACGAAATATATCTCAACACACCACATCTAAAACGTTTTACTGCCGAGTCAGTATACTGTGGAATTTTAACCAATATTTGTGAAACATTAAAAACCAAATACGCCGACAAAGTCCAAGAATTTTTAAAATATTTGATCGAAAATTTTCCACGGTCGCACAGAATCGGTACTTGGTATATGCTTTTGTATGACGTATTAATTTTCCGCAAACAGACAAAAGAAGCTGTGAATACTATTATAACAGCACTCAGTACTAAAAAAGAATATATTTTGGAGCATCAGATTTATGAATTTACACATAAGGCGCAACAGCAAAAAGAACATAAAAGCATTGATCAAAAATGTCATGATGAACTTGTGGGATTATTAGTTGATCCTATCCATTTAGAACACTTTCCTCAAGCTGTTGTAGATGCCAAAGAAGTTTGGACGTAAGTATATTAATATATTCATTAGTCAAAAATATGTAGTATAAAAAAGTAATGTGTTTCAAAAAAGTACAAAATAATTTTCATACTTATTAAAATCTAAAAAATACCTCTATCAAAAAAAAATCAAGTGAAAACAGTATTCTCTCAAGTTCATATTTACTTATCTTTATATATAAAAATCTCGTGGCACGCTGTTTGTCCAAGCTAATATTAAAAACCACTGAACCGATTGCAATAAAATTTTGTGAAAGTGACCTCTACAGTTTTATTTCATTTGATCCATGTAGTTATAAAATATCATAAAATGACGTTTAATTTTTACCTTCCATGTAGCTATTTGCCGGTCCATTTTCTTCTCCTAATACAAAGAACCGCGGAGTTGCACTGACATACAATGAGCTCTGCTGTTTTTTCTTCAAGATGACAGAATCTGTACAGGTCATCATCTGATAATCATATCAGTTTCATTGCCTATTCAGCTACAGTGCCTGTTAGAAGACTACTATGGCTTTGACTGTTTTCCTGTCTTTGCTTATTAGGTCTGTCGTAAATTTTGGCGAATGTTCTGTAATGAACTGTTTCGCAAGTCTGAGAGAGCTGTCTGTGTCGTGGTGAATTCCTCCACCATTCCAGAGATTTGCGAGCTATCCACTTCCTTGTAGCTGTACTTGTTACTGACTTTGCAACGCCGCAGAAGGGTTCCTATCCAATGAATGGCATTGATGAGCCTTGTTTGGCCATTTCATCTGCTTTTTCATTGCTTTCATGATCCTCGTGCCTCGGTACCCAGGTTACCGTAATGCTATGGTCTCCTAGTTTATTTAAGGCACACACACAATCCCATACTAGCTAAGAATCGATCTCTACAGAATTGAGTGCCTAAAGCGCTGCCTGACTATCTGTGAAGATGGCAACTGAACAGAGCGTTCTTTCCTGTCTTTCTATTTCTTCCACGCAGTGATGGACTGGAAAACTGTCACATCGTTAGATAAACTTATCGGAAAATGTATCCCTTGATATGTCCCTACTATGCCGGCTCCCACACCCCCCGATATTTTTGAGCCATCCGTGTACCAGGTAGCAGCAGCTTCTATGGGTACAACTTTATTCCAGTCTTCCTGCCTGGTCTTAATTTTGAACTTATTGTTAAAGCTATTTCTCATAGCTGTTGCATCGGTAAGTTGCCCCATCACAATATCGGCTTTTAGCTCCTCGATTAGCTTTCTGTTGTCAGCACCATGCATCTGGCTTATATGTCGCTGATTATGGATTAATCTGTGCATCACTGATCTGGCTTCGCTCTGTATAAAGATATGAAGTGGTGGTAGATTCAGCAGGACTTCCAACGATGCACTAGGAGTTGTTTTTATGGCCCCCGTTAGACACAGACATGCTAGCCTTTGTGTATTACCTATCAGCCTTATTGCTCCCACTTGCTGCGTCTTTGTCCACCACGTCACCGAGCCGTAGGTTATCATGGCTCTAATAACCCTTGTGTATAACCATAGTCATTTTGGAATTGATCCCAATTCTTACCGCATATTCTTCTACATCTGCCTAGGGACATAGTAGCTTTCTGTGGTGTGGGTTTCAGAATGTGAGTATTCCATGTAAGCCTATGATCAAAATACACCCCAAGGTATTTTGTTTCTTTGGCAAATGAAATCTCTGTTCCTCATAGCACCGCTATTTTGAGGTCTTGTATTGCTGTTTTTTTTTGTGAAGTTGACGATTTGTGTTTTCTGAACATTGACTATCAGTCTCTCTTGTTTACTACCAGTCGTTAACTATATTTAGGGCTGCTTGCATTCTCTCAGACACCACCTGAGCAAATCTGCCCCTGAAAACGTTGCCCAAAAGTTTGGTTGCACAAAGTAGAGGAGACAGAACTCCTCCTTGTGGACAGCCTCCACCGACTTTTGTTTTGATAGTTGTTTTACCCAGAGTGGGCATTAATGTCATATTCTCCAGGGATGCCCTTATCCATAGGCATATTACAGCAGGTGTGCCTTGTCTACTCATAACTCCTATCAAAGAGCTGGTAGTAACATTATTAAATGCCTCTTCATCTTAAAAAGATGCCATTGCTATATCTTTGTCTTACATTGACTTTGAGATAAGCCTATTTAGATCATCCAACGCAGGGTCCGTAGATTTACCAGGTTGGTATGCATATTGACGATTACTTGGATGATTATCTTTTAGCCGAAACTTATTTATAGCCCATCTAATTCTGTTTGGTCTTATGATTGCTGCGACTATATCCCAATCTATAGACTTTGTCCTAGTGAGCCTTTGGTCTATGTTTGTTTACCTATTTGCATCATCCATAATTGTTGAGCCCGGAAAGTGCGTGTTTATCAGTTCTCTAAGACTTTCCTCTTTTTCCCTCTATTTGATGACATGTTAATAATAAAAAAATGTATTTCTGTTTGATTTACGTAAAAATTGTTTTAATTTTTTTTTGTTTTTAGTAACGACGAAATTTATCTCAACACACCACATCTAAAACGTTTTACTGCCGAGTCAGTATACTGTGGAATTTTAACCAATATTTGTGAAACATTAAAAACCAAATACGCCGACAAAGTCCAAGAATTTTTAAAATATTTGATCGAAAATTTTCCACGGTCGCACAGAATCGGTACTTGGTATATGCTTTTGTATGACGTATTAATTTTCCGCAAACAGACAAAAGAAGCTGTGAATACTATTATAACAGCACTCAGTACTAAAAAAGAATATATTTTGGAGCATCAGATTTATGAATTTACACATAAGGCGCAACAGCAAAAAGAACATAAAAGCATTGATCAAAAATGTCATGATGAACTTGTGGGATTATTAGTTGATCCTATCCATTTAGAACACTTTCCTCAAGCTGTTGTAGATGCCAAAGAAGTTTGGACGTAAGTATATTAATATATTCATTAGTCAAAAATATGTAGTATAAAAAAAGTAATGTGTTTAAAAAAAGTACAAAATAATTTTCATACTTATTAAAATCTAAAAAATACCTCTATCAAAAAAAAATCAAGTGAAAACAGTATTCTCTCAAGTTCATATTTACTTATCTTTATATATAAAAATCTCGTGGCACGCTGTTTGTCCAAGCTAATATTAAAAAACCACTGAACCGATTGCAATAAAATTTTGTGAAAGTGACCTCTACAGTTTTAGTTCATTTGATCCATGTAGTTATAAAATATCATAAAATGACGTTTAATTTTTTTATAAATATTTTTATGGTTTACGCCATAACTATTAGTATTTATATTTATATATTTATATATATATATATATATACTTTGGAGGGTAACTTTCGGGAAAGCGTCAAAACAAGGATCAGCTAGAGATGGTATAAGCCAGCTTGGTGTAGAACTTTATTCTATATGTGAAATTTTCGGTGATATGTTGTCACCTTCATCAGCACCTAAATGGAAAACCTATTATAGTACAGTGGTGGAAATCAACATTTAAAAACCTACATTGAAAATGTTCAGTTGGTCCTAGTTGTAAAAAACACTGTCACAAACATGTTAAAAATATTAAAAAATACATTTAAAATTTTGAATAAAAACATTACAAACAACAGGGTAGTTTTTCAAATACAAACACAACAAAAAATCTAAAATTTACAACCTACAAAAACTACAAATAGAAAAGAAGAATTAATCTTCTTTTTTGATGACATATTTCTGTCAACATCCGGGTGTCATATGTAACGAGGTTATAATTTTCACTTTTGCACATCACAACCACATGGATACGAAAAGAAAGAGCCCTAGGCAACATAATAAGCAAGGAAATAAAGTCCCCTCTAAAGCACAGGTAGGTAATCTATGCATGTCATGATAAGTTCCCCACATTTTCCAGTTTGTTACTTCTTGTCAAGTCCTGTTGAAGTAGAAAGGAATAAATACAACTTAAGTTTTCAACATCTTTCTTACAGTTCATAGGAGAGCTGCAGTTATGGATGTAGCACATTTCTATGAAGTTTCTCTTAAATTGGTTGTCAACCCTCTTTAGTACTTGCACATTTTCATAGTTAGCAGTGTGTCCAGTATTCTTAATATGTTGGCTAAAGGCTGTGCTGGTGGGCTTCCTCACAACATCACTCCTGTGCAAAGCTATTCTTTTTGAGAGTTTCTGGCTGGTTTGACCGACATACACTTCTGAACAAGAACCACATGGAATAGAATACACTACATTGAAGTTATCCAGTTTTTTAACTCTTTCTGTCAGGTGAGTAAAGTATGTCCCTAATCTTTTGTAAACAGAATTTGCTATCACTATGTTGAACTGTCTGAAAAGGTTTGTGATCTGTGGTGATAAACCTTTGATGTAAGGCAATCTCCCATAGAACACTTCTACTGTTTCTCCTTCTAATGTTTGTCTTTGCTGTGTTCTAACTGTTGGCATATCTTGAAATAGCAATTTATTAAGAAGCATCTTAGGGTAGTGATTTTTTCTAAGAATCTCATACAATAACTTGATGTTCTTATTGTAGTTTGAAGGGTGACAAATTCTTTTTATTCTGTTTTTCAGACCTTTGATGATGTTAATCTTCTGTTCGTCTGGATGATACGAGTGAAAAGGCACATATCTACCTGAGAATGTTTTTTTTCTGTACCAATCTAACCTTACTGTATTGTCCTCATGTCTGGTTACATAGGTGTCTAAGAATGGAACACTATTATTTTCTTCTGTTTCAACTGTGAATTGTAGGTGAGTGTTATATGAGTTGAAAATGTCAAGAGTGTAGTTGATTTTGTCTGCAGGGACTGCACATATGAGGTCGTCTACATATTGGTAAATGAAGGGGAACTGGAAATCAACTTCTTGAGTACAGTAGTGAAGTAGGGAGTTCATTACAATTTCTGCCAAAGTAGGGGATATAGCTCCACCCATGGGTGCTCCTTTTATTTGGACATAGAATTCATTTTGAAAAGTGAAATATGTATTGTTGTATAAAAAGGTAATCAGTTTCAGGAACAAAACTTTGGGAATTGTACAGTTCTGTTCAATAAGATGGTAATTAGTTGTCAGAATAGAAACTACCAGTTCAAGAGGGATGTTGGTAAACAAGGAAGTAACATCAAAACTCACCAAGACATATCCTGAAGGTAGTAAAAACCCATTGATCTTATTGCAAATTCAAAAGAATCTTTAATTTTGTAGGTATTATGAGAAGAAAAAGAAGTGTCAATAATACCTGCCAGATATTTAGCCAAGGATTGAGTGGGGCATTCTGGCAGTATTATGACACTTCTTTTCTTTCATAATACCTACAAAATTAAGATTCTTTTGAATTTGCAAATAAGATCAATGGGTTTTTACTACCTTCAGGATATGTCTTGGTGAGTTTTGATGTTACTTCCTTGTTTACCAACATCCCTCTTGAACTGGTAGTTTCTATTCTGACAACTAATTACCATCTTATTGAACAGAACTGTACAATTCCCAAAGTTTTGTTCCTGAAACTGATTACCTTTTTATACAACAATACATATTTCACTTTTCAAAATGAATTCTATGTCCAAATAAAAGGAGCACCCATGGGTGGAGCTATATCCCCTACTTTGGCAGAAATTGTAATGAACTCCCTACTTCACTACTGTACTCAAGAAGTTGATTTCCAGTTCCCCTTCATTTACCAATATGTAGACGACCTCATATGTGCAGTCCCTGCAGACAAAATCAACTACACTCTTGACATTTTCAACTCATATAACACTCACCTACAATTCACAGTTGAAACAGAAGAAAATAATAGTGTTCCATTCTTAGACACCTATGTAACCAGACATGAGGACAATACAGTAAGGTTAGATTGGTACAGAAAAAAAACATTCTCAGGTAGATATGTGCCTTTTCACTCGTATCATCCAGACGAACAGAAGATTAACATCATCAAAGGTCTGAAAAACAGAATAAAAAGAATTTGTCACCCTTCAAACTACAATAAGAACATCAAATTATTGTATGAGATTCTTAGAAAAAATCACTACCCTAAGATGCTTCTTAATAAATTGCTATTTCAAGATATGCCAACAGTTAGAACACAGCAAAGACAAACATTAGAAGGAGAAACAGTAGAAGTGTTCTATGGGAGATTGCCTTACATCAAAGGTTTATCACCACAGATCACAAACCTTTTCAGACAGTTCAACATAGTGATAGCAAATTCTGTTTACAAAAGATTAGGGACATACTTTACTCACCTGACAGAAAGAGTTAAAAAACTGGATAACTTCAATGTAGTGTATTCTATTCCATGTGGTTCTTGTTCAGAAGTGTATGTCGGTCAAACCAGCCAGAAACTCTCAAAAAGAATAGCTTTGCACAGGAGTGATGTTGTGAGGAAGCCCACCAGCACAGCCTTTAGCCAACATATTAAGAATACTGGACACACTGCTAACTATGAAAATGTGCAAGTACTAAAGAGGGTTGACAACCAATTTAAGAGAAACTTCATAGAAATGTGCTACATCCATAACTGCAGCTCTCCTATGAACTGTAAGAAAGATGTTGAAAACTTAAGTTGTATTTATTCCTTTCTACTTCAACAGGACTTGACAAGAAGTAACAAACTGGAAAATGTGGGGAACTTATCATGACATGCATAGATTACCTACCTGTGCTTTAGAGGGGACTTTATTTCCTTGCTTATTATGTTGCCTAGGGCTCTTTCTTTTCGTATCCATGTGGTTGTGATGTGCAAAAGTGAAAATTATAACCTCGTTACATATGACACCCGGATGTTGACAGAAATATGTCATCAAAAAAGAAGATTAATTCTTCTTTTCTATTTGTAGTTTTTGTAGGTTGTAAATTTTAGATTTTTTGTTGTGTTTGTATTTGAAAAACTACCCTGTTGTTTGTAATGTTTTTATTCAAAATTTTAAATGTATTTTTTAATATTTTTAACATGTTTGTGACAGTGTTTTTTACAACTAGGACCAACTGAACATTTTCAATGTAGGTTTTTAAATGTTGATTTCCACCACTGTACTATAATAGGTTTTCCATTTAGGTGCTGATGAAGGTGACAACATATCACCGAAAATTTCACATATAGAATAAAGTTCTACACCAAGCTGGCTTATACCATCTCTAGCTGATCCTTGTTTTGACGCTTTCCCGAAAGTTACCCTCCAAAGAATTGTATTCTTAGCGTCGTTACACACACTCTATTTATATATATATATATAATATATATATATATATATATATATATATATATATATATATATATATTTCATATGATTGTGTAAGTAGTTTTAAATTTTTATAACATTTTTTATAGTATTTCCGAATTTTTTTTTTTTTATTTTAAAGTTTTTTCAATTTTTAGTGACCAATCTGGGAGACAGCGGTTCTATGAAATACACAATTCAGATGGTAGTAAACTATATAAAAATGCAGAACAAGTTGCACAAGCCCATTATATTGAAACATGTGGTTATACCGATGGCATACATTGTGAAGGCAGAATAATGCATTCATTCACGCTTTTCTTCTGGGAAATTATTTATAGCCAAACTCCGAATATCCCGGGCACTTTTTTATCTAAATATCAAGAAGTCCCCCTTGATATGTATACCACTGATTTCTACAAAAATCGGAAACAACTAATTGACAAAAGATTGAAGGATATAGCTGAAGATTGGACATATAAAGAAATTATTCAAAACGCTACAGAGTACTGGAATAAATATTCACACATATCAGGATTGGGTGGTCCAATATGTGAGACTCTAGATATCAAATTCCTTAATATAATTGTGGATTGTATCGGAAGAAAAATACTGTCTAAAATTTATGAAAGACTGGTTAAAGATATACATCAGTACCGAAGTGAAATGCCGGATTTGTTTTTATGGAATGTAGACGAAAAAAAGGTATGTATATCTCAAGTATTTTTTACTTACAGTACATTCAATCAACTTACACCTCTAAACGATTAATGGAATTCGCAGAAAACCCTTCGTTGCAGTACAAGGCACGGTAAACTGCACTGGAGTTCTTCACAATATTTGTAATTACTTACTTTGTTTAGAATATTTTTGCCTGTATTATCAGTTAGAGTAAATTTGCATTAAATGAGGAGGCAAAATTCAAATGGAATTTTAACAGGTTGAGTGCCACAGCAGACACCGGTGTTTGCTCAGAGGTATCTGCCCAATATTGCCAGAGCAGACACCCGTGTCTGCTATGACTTCATACACATTTTTGACTATACCTTCACAGTGTCTGCAAATTGTATGTATTTAACATACATCGGTGTCTGCTAAGGTGATGGTTTATATGCGACAACTGTAAACTCTTTAAATTTTTTTTCTTACGGGACTGCTTTTTTTGAAGGTTATAAAAATTCTAGTTTTGAAGACAAATATTTACTTTCATAAAAAGATAAAATACATAGCAACTAATTATAATGTGTTTTATTAAAACAAGAAAGACACATTGGAGGTTTTCCAATACAATCATTACAAAATGTGGTAACTTTTGATATTTTACTTCGTGGAATCTCACCCAACTTCTTTTTTTCATAGCAACCTCGACAATATTTACGGCCCACTCTTGAACTTCCTTGTTTTTTTATAAATTTATGATTGGATATCGACTTTCGTTTTGGTAGTTCAGGATTTTGAGACGTATTTGGTGGTAAAGTCTCATCAGCAGTGTTCAAGAGTTCTGTTACAATATGTTCTCTGAATTCATGAACAGTTATATTTTTCATTGTGATTTCTTTGTACAAAAAGCGAGCATTGACAATACATGTTCCTAACAACAACTCTATGGCTGCATCGTAATGCCGAACCATAACTAGCCAGTTGATCAGATAAATCTATGGAAGATTTTCCAGTATTGTAATCTGTAATTGACTTAGGTTTTATCACAGTTTCAGTTCTCCTGACTATTTCTTCTGTCTCATTTGCGTGTCTCGTTGAGAGAATGAGCACATCTCTCTTATCTTTCCATTTAGTAATTGTGATACCATCATCGTTTTCCCTCGAAATTATTTCACCTCGTTTCAACTTTTTATTTATGACAGCCTTTGGATTTCCACGTCTATTTTTACGAAGTGTTCCGATCAAATGAGTATTTTTACTAAGCAGATTATTTGCGAGTTCAAGACTTGTGTAAAAATTGTCTGTGACAATAGTTCTACCTTTACCCAAGAGCTTCTCAGACAATCTTAGAACAACATCTGTGGGCAAAGACGTAGTTCTATTGTTATTACTTTTACCACCATATACTTCCAAGTTCCAGGTATAACCAGAATTACAGCATAGTTTAAAAAATTTTATCCCATATTTGTGGGTTTTTTGCGGTATATATTGTTTTAAAAGCAAGCGTCCTTGAAATGGAACCATACTCTCATCAATACAAAAAACTTGACCTGGAGTATACAACGCTTGAAAATTTGTATTGCACATATTTACCAATCCCTGTATTTTATAAAGGCGATCAAATCGGGGGCAAAGTTCATTGTCTGCAAAATGCATCATCTGCAGAAGAAGCTGGAATCTGTTCCGGCTCATTGTATTCCTCACAACATTATTATTATACAATATAGATTTGGACCAATAACTCTTTATTGCTGGCATTTTCACCAGACCCATATAGCCTATAAGTCCTAGAAATCTTTTCATTTCAGAAATAGTCGTGGGTTCCCATTTATGTAGTCGCGAGGATTGTGGGATATCATTTATTGTTGTTAGGAATTGTGTAGCATATAAATTTGTTTGCTGGACAATATGCTCAATTATGTTATTATCCAAACAAGCAGAATAAAAGTCAAACGGAGTACCACTTGAAAGTTGAGCCACAACCACGTCATTAGGACCACATTCATCTATAAAACAAAGATTTTTCTGCCGTCCAGTAGGTTCAGACCAACCATCACTGATTTCTGTAACGGGTCGGTTGACTTGGGAGACTGTTGTGTTGTAATTTGTCAATGGGGTATCACTCGAATCGGAATCGGATGATTCACTTTCTGTCTGCGTTTTTTCCATCTTAGACTTTGGCGGCACCTGAGCAGCAGGTTCAGAATCATCAGAATTTGACGATCTTGGAAGATAAGCTGGATCGTTTATGGAATCTGTGGAATTGAATTCCTCATCTGATGAATCGCAGCTGTCTTCTGAAAACATTTATTTACTTGCAGTCTGATCTAACTTACACTTATTGTTAAAAAACTTACCGTAACTTGCTGCAGACTGTTTTGCATAAATTGCAGCCATAATTCTCTTTGTGCGATCACTAATATTATGCATGATGTATAATTTTTAAGAAAAATCACCAATATAGGTATTTAATACAGCTATAAAACAAAAGAATAACTCAACAAACTACTAACTCACGTGTATGTCTTTGAGGTTAGGTTTAAACGACAGCGGCGCCGTAAACCCCACTGTCTGCAGTGTCAAACATGAATTAATTGTGTCTTCCCGGCTATTAATTACTTGTATCATAATTAGCTCATTGATCGCGCAATTTTGGCGGCGAAAAATGTGGACGTTAACGAAATTAACTTCCAGATTCAACAGTTGTTACCAGGTGATCGGATATCTTTTAAATCAGTCGACAGTATTGTTAATGAAGACGAAGTCGTAAATTTTAAATTAAAGACGATTTCCGAAGTGGAAATTGAAACGACAATAAAAATATTTTTATCTTTAATTGTGGCTTATTCCCAGTTAAATAGTAATTAAGTCGTAAATTATCCAAAAGAATTTTTAAAATGATATACCGGGGATGCCATCACGAATTTCATGATACTTAACTCTGAACATCATTTCAGTCATATATATTTCAATTTCATCAATCGTTAGTATTTTAACTTTTTTAAGGCAGCATTTTTATAATTCGAATGTAATTTTCAGGCCAAATTTGTTAAGGTTAAAGGGGAAAATGACGAACTCTCGATAAAGCAGCAATTGTGGTTGAAGTATTTACTGGAGATTGGAGCAAATGTAGAAGTTTGTCACGTGCAGTGTAAGTATTCTATTGTAGTAGCAGCTTACTTAGTTTGTTCTTCTACTTAAATGTTAGATTTGACAAAAAACAAGTTCATTTTTAAATAATTTTCGAACAAAAATAATTAGGCAGATGTAGTTATATAATGTACAGTTACAATAATATACACCGTGATGACTGGAAAAAAATTCGGAAAAATCTAATCCAAGTTTGCCACATTTTAATATTGGTGTTGCATTCTTACAGTAGGATGAGAAGTGACCTCAACTTTTTTTCCAAATAAGAAATTTTATCATCACCTATTTTATGCCCCACTATATTGATAAGTTTTAAATGGGTGTGCTACCCATTTTTATGATTATATATTAGGAATAGAGGATGCTGACAAAAATCAAAATGAATCAAAGTAGAGTATTGAATCAATGTAGCAATTATCGCACAATAGCAATAATTGTACATACTACAGCAAAATATTCTTAAACATAAGAGTAGACAAAATATTTTTTACTACAGAAAATTGCGGATTTTATCCCGGGAGGGGCACTAGGGATCTAGTGAACTGTTAGAAGATATATAGATTCTATCTGGAATGAGAGTGCTGCGTACAAATTATGTAGAATAAAAACTATTCCAGAGTTAGAGTATATGAAGAACTTACGGCAAGTTTGAAGTCACCAAAAGGTGTGAGATAAGGATATATACTGAGTATACAGTCGTCGTCTATAAGAAATTATCAATATCACGTCGTTAACTAATTTTGTATACTTAGGCTGCTTGGGAATGAAAATCGGAGGAGGAGGAGAGATGCTCTCAAGAAATAAAGCGATTCTAAAAATGGTATGGCTAAATTACGCTAAATTAATGAAAATTACAAACAATTAAGTTTTTCATCCTTTTTGATGTATTCTTCAAGGCTTCCGACGTCTCAGTCTTCCGAGACCCCAGACACTACTACAGTGATCACGAATCAATACATTACTGCTACTATGAGAGTTCTCCATGTCAAAGTTAACCATATGCCGTCAGCTCTTTTATTGAGACAATTTGGCCTTTTTTCAATTTCTAAGGCTTCTCGGATAATTTTCGGTTTATAGAGGCGAAGGGGGGCTATGGTTCTGGAGCTTTCAAAATCAATTTTGTGACCTGTATGAAGATGGTGACAGTGACAGAAAGACAATATTTAGTCTGGAGGCTCGGTAGACTGAGAACTTGGAAGCCCTGAAGTATACATCAAAGACTGTATCTGAAGTATCTATATATATACATAGATATATATATACTATATATATATAATATATATATATATATATATATATATATCTGACGGTTCAAACTTCACTAGACATTTCATGAATTTTCGATCATCTTGAATGATATAGAACCTTCTTTTTCATCGAAAAATAATACCAACCCCATAGAAATAAGTGATTCCGTGCACTTTTTAAATTACGTTTTTTACGATTTTTTTGTGGCTCTATATTAATATGTCTTTATTTTTAGCTAGAGGATCTAAGAGAAAATTGGACGATAACGAAAATGACCACCAACGAACAGACCAATAACACAACCGACAAAATCAATATATATATATAATAAGAAAAAAGAAAAATATTCATATAATTTATTACGCACTTATTGTTATTCAGATATTTCATTTAATGTCTGAATTGGAAAAAAGTTGGAAAAAATATAAAGTGAATAGTTAAACCAATGATATAAAGAAGGCACATGAGCACCTGGTCTTTTCAGACCAGATTGTTATTGTATTTAATATTGCATGACATCTTTAATTATATAACCATAAAGTACAAAATGGGTTTGAACACTAGAATCTGTAAATATTGTATATCGTGAATGTGTCATGACTTCTTTGGCATATCGCGATTTTTGATAATTTTAGTGCTTCAACCTACAGGCTGTGGCGTTCGCTATTTTTTAAGTATTCTAAATTTAAGTTTAAATAAGATTACGTGTAGTCGAACCACTGAGAGAATATCCATACGACACGGACATGCATTTCTTTCTAAAGTGAGATTTTTTATTCAATTTACAGGAAAATCATTTGTTTGTTACTCAAAACTAATAATTTACATTATATAGCATTAACAGGTTGACTGCCAAGCTGATTTAGTACTATTTGCCATTATGTATTTGTGAACCATATTGGTACACAGCACTATTTGCCATCGGCACGTGTACCTATATTGTGCACAGCATGCTAATGTAGTCAATCATTGTATATACCTGTACATATGCACAAACTTAATATTTTATATGAAAATTTTAATCAAGTGGTCTCCTATACCAATTTTGGAAATATAGTCTATTATTTGTTGGCAAGGAATATGCAGAAGTGTTGAGGCTATTCCAGAAATGTTACGCAATGGTCTTGAATCCATTTTAAACTCTTTTTGAGGTATGGCAACCTGCGCCGTCCTGTTGGAAGACAAAATCTTCCGCTTATGTTAAATGGTGTTTCATAATCGGTAAAAGAAGTTCCTCTAAAATATTCAAATATTTGCCCGTGTTTACAATCCCATCGATAAAATGGAACTTTCCCACACCTTTAGACGACGTGCTGCCCCAGATCATGTCAGATGCAGGAAATTTGACTTTTCTCTTCAGAGAGTCGGGATGGAAAGCTTCATTTTTCCTGTGAATGAGGCGACCTAATTTTTTCAACTATAAAACTTACTTTGTAAGTACCAAATCTTAATTTTGGGCCTCTCGGTGACATGTTAATCTAGAAAAGTGTCTTTCAATAGCATCTTCCAAAAAACGCTCAATTCCATATAATTTGCTCATCGTTTTTTCACCACAATGCGTCTTAATGCCCTTCGATCTGATTCGGTTATATTTTTCGTTCATTTATAGGTTTTGTGATGACCGAACCTGTAGTTTTGTATCTTTTGACTATATATTTCTTACACTATATCATGACAATTGGATGATTTTCCAGAATTAAAAAATCTAATAATTATTAAACAAATTTTCTTATCTATAACTTTACTTCGACCTATGATGTCACTTGGTGATAAACGTTTATCTTAATTTACTATTCTAAAATATATTTTATCTAAAAGTGCATACATTTATTTGTCAACGTACTAGATAAACGATAAAACCATAGATAAATAATATAATAGTAGAAATAGATAGGCAACTCAATGTATAAATTTCGTTCATTATGACCCCTTGCGGCTGGGGTCAATACTAATCATCTTTTGGCGGCAAATTCGAATTGATTACACCCATTTGCACAAGTCAATACATTATTTTTGCTCCTGACAATTAGCAGCCTCTTGTTGTAATTTTTCATGATTGTACAACGAACAATACAATAATTCACATGTTTAGTTTATACTAGAAACACAAAATTCTTTGCTACAATAGGTAACCAAATAAACTTTAAATTAGTAACCAGATTTAAATTAAATTACTAGAATAATGCAAACGAAGTTAAGATAATAAATAAATTGAAACTTGTAAACAAACGGAAGATTGTCATTACTTGGATTGACAGAATTGACAATGCTTGTGATTATTTTATTTGTTATGATTGGTAAAGTCTTCGTGAGAGAGATAGCTGTCATTTCTTTATTAACTGCTGTTCCAGCATGATAAAACATACAATCTGACAAACTCGTGCAAAACGAACATTCTGATACATTAACTGACAATATATTGTTTTGATGTCATTTTCACAGCTACCTGAATTAACGAATAGAAAAATTCAACGTATGTTCATATAGTGATTCATAGCCAGATTTAGCGATTTTTAGTGTTGAAAATAATTAAAAAACCAAAAGGAATGTTTAATAAATATTAATAAAATGTATTAATATTGAACTTACAAAAAATGCAGAACGAATAGTTATGGAACCGAGTAAACTGCAAATTATAGGGCAACGATGTGGAAAAGGCTCGTATAACTAAACGATCAGATGTGTCATGTCAATCGTTTGATTATACAAGACGAATCAATCATGACCGACTCTGAAATCGACTGAATCATTTCAATGTTCGTTCTATGTCAATACATTTTCGTTACACGATTAAAACAAATAACAAGTAACCGATTGATTGAGCTGAATCGACTGAAAACCGGTAGTATTGCTTAACGTATTTCATATATGTGTATTCACCTTCATTTTTCTTCATACGTTTATGTTAGTACGAGTAGGGCTTAGATTATTAAAAAATATTCGAGAAGCTAAAATTTATTATGTTTTTGTTTTTAGGTTCTTAGTGTAACTCAGAAATAATTATTTTATATGTAAATATGTGCTGCATCCAAATATAAATATTTATTGTCATTGTGCAAATTTTAATTTTGCGATATTTTATGATTTTAACTACCTAATAACTATTAACAACACAAGCGAAAGCAATCGCTAGGGCCCGATAGAATATTTTCCCACTCCAATACTCCCGGGCTGTAGCTAAGTCGCTGTCTTGCACGCAATTCTTAATTCAATAATAGTATTTTAATTTTTCAATAATTTAAACGAAAGCAATTATTTAGCCGCATGGCATATATCGGTCTTCGTTGCGTTGCAAGTGAGGAACGACCGAGGACCGAAAGTAATGACTGTGCAATGTTTTGGTTCGATCTCGATCGGTGCCGTCAGCGGTCGATCAATAGATTTTTGTCACCATACGATTGGATCGTTATGAACTAGCGGGATTCGGTCATTCAACACTTTGAAGTGATTGAATCAAAACGAACGAATCAATCGCGATTGATACAACACTACCAACATCAAATTGGATGAGGTGCAACGTATTTAAGAAGAATTAACGAATACGATCATATCACACGCCTTTTCTATGTAGCATCAATATCAAACAAAAGCGATAGATTATAAACGTTATTTCGATTTTTATATTTTTTTTTATAATAGTTCTGTAGATAACTCTCAGCGGTTTAACTATGTAGTTATTAATTTATGTAGGCTAAATTTTCTTCCTTTTTGACTTAAACCCCGATTTCTCGACCGTGAATATTTTTGTTTAAAGTTCTGTCACAACACTCTTTTATTTTTTCCCTTTTTCTTTTCACTTGTTACTTGTCAAAAAGGGAGGCAACTCCAGGTCTATAAGAGTAGAATAGGGTATTAATCGTTTTGTTTATTTTTTGCTTTATTATTATTGTTTACTGTCTGTTTGAAGTATTGTCAATTTAAACTATTATTTACTTAATACTAATTATTAATATACAATAAACATAAAGATCTATTTTATCTTTTTACCTATCAATTGTATTGAGCATATTTTATTATTATATTGTTATAATAAAATTAATAATATTTTATTGTAGTTTTATTTAAAATATACCTAGTTTGAGATCAAAACCAATGAATGCAAAGTGGGCATTAAAATAGTATTATGGGTGTAAAGAGAAAGTACGTAAGGGATTCGATATTATCATCATGCTCTTTGCCTTTCTATCTTGGGTCATATCCTCGGTCACTCGACACTGGGGAGTAGGCAGATTGAGACCTCAGTGCCGAGAGACAGTTCTTGTATTTATTATACAGAACACGATACTGGTACGTCTCTAGTGAGGGGAGTAGGCAGATTGAGACCCCGAACTCGAACCGTATCACTCTTGATAATGGCTCCAAAATGGGAGCCGAAACGTCGAGCATTAAATTCTCAATGCGGTTCTTCCCGAGAACCTAGTGATTTTCATATACAGTAAAACCTCCTTTAACCGAAACGGCTGACAGTTTAAATAACTTCGTCAATAAAAAGTAATATTTTACCGCAAAATGTAAACAATTCCATTAATGTCACTTACCGATTGATGCCTATGTGTGTTGGGAAATCAAAACAACCAAGAGCTCTAAAAGCTATTTGAGAAAAAGCACTTCCAGTTTTTTATAGAAGCCAAAAATGCTCATGGATGTCGACCACTTTATTTTCAGAATGGTTCGAAAATGAATTCGTCCCAAGTGTAAAATCCTTTTTAAAATAAATAAAAACCTTCCCATCAAAGCATTGTTGCTTATTGACAATGCGCCAACCACCCTCAAAATCTATGCAATAGTCATAATTGCATAAATGCAAAAAAAATAAAATGTCAGATTTTGCCTCCGAATGTCACGAGTTTAATTCAGCTATTAGACCAGGGAGTAATAGAGACATTATAGAGGAGCATTCTTAAGACATCTGTTATTACAGGGGACGAATGAATGCAAAAGTTTTCCTGAAATCCTCAATTGTTCAACAATGAAACATGTTGTTTATCGGTGTGCTGAGTTCTGGGCCAAGATCAAATCTTCAACTTTGGAAAAATGCTGGAACTAACTTTTTGATAGAATTTTGATTGACGATCCTGAAGAAGAAACTGGTAAAGAAACGACAGAAGAAATTAAATCTTTAATAAAAAATTTACGTTAAGAAGAGATACGTGAGTGGTTAGCAGCCGATGACTCAGAAAGTGAATTCATCGACCAGGTCATCATTGATATGGTTGTTCATCCAAACAACCTGAGCGTATCAGATGACGACCCAACAGACAACAGGTAGCATGAGACCGCCGATGAGATTTCAATGCCTTAAGGAAAAGAATTTTATACGGTAGGCCTAATTAGTTAGGGACACGAGTAGGTTCTTAATTTTTGTTGCCATTGTATAAAGTTTTGTCCTTTTCAGATTGCTTTACGTTTCGTCGAACGATGAAATGAGGCAACCTCACGACGTTCTGCAAATTAACGATAGAGATATATAGCTGCAAAACATCGTTGTCAAACGATAACGTAAAAGAAAATAAAGGATTTTTTTAAAAAATCATGTTAAACTTGTTCATTTTCCTTAATTTTAATACTTTATTCTGTATTTACGTATTGGAAAACATTACGAAATCACCGCGTATTATTTTTTATTACCAATATTTTAACCAAGAATACAAAATGTTAAACGTATAAACGTCTGTCTACTCGGATTGAAGTGAAAAGCAAACTGAGTAGCAGTGCGAGTGAGCGTCAAAGTGGTGGAAATTCCAAATTAAAAATGGCGGAAAGAATTCTCTACTCCTGTTGCCGACAAGAATGTAGAGCGTAGAATAATTTTTAAATAATTTTAAACTGTTTGTCCATGTTTTAGTGTATTGTAGTATTATGTTCAATTTCGTGTTTATTACATTCTGCGCTTGCTGGATAGCATAAATTTGACGAAATGTCCTTGATGATGCTGTAGGAAGCGAAAGTACTTGGGCAAGATTTGATTATTAAATTTGTGCTCGATATTTGCCTTTAATTTTTCAAAGTTCATTTATTCGAGCATTCAACCTTATATCAATTAAAATGTGTCAAAATATAATGTCAAAATACAGTGAATATAATTTAAATAATCTAATTCCACTGTCTCGTATATAAATATGTCACAACCAATATGTTATATAATTTCTACGTAAAATACAAAAGTCAAAGCATCAATTTTGCCGATATTAATTTTCCTAGAACTGTAGAAATCAGAACAAGTAGAAAACTACTTAATCCGCTTAACCATGAGAGCAAGCTAACCAGACGGTCTTCCGAGTGTGCTCCGGTCACTTTTGATAAGCTGTATATTTTCTTTTATTTGTTTTTATCTTTGTTGTCTGCCATGGCAAACATATTATCGAAACACGAGAACTGGAAGTAATTACAAACAAATGCAGCCTGAAATACCCATAAAAAGATGGTTTCATACTCTATCAAATCGCCATTTCATAAGGGTTATAAACAGATTAAGATCTAATCATGCTCTATTACATATTTTCCTTGAATGTTCCCACGAAACAGTACCTAAACATAAACAAATTTTATGATAATCTTATTATGTTAAAAATTCCACTTCCCGTCTACCTGAACAATTTGATTTTCTCTAGAGATATCAATATATTAAAAACGATTTACTAACATATCAAAAACTGTAAATATATAATTGTATCTTTATAAAAGTAACCCTTACATTTAAGTAAATATTGTATTATATTATAGCCGAAAAAAATTAAATATTTATAAAAATCGATTACAAAATAAATCAATAAATAAAAAATATATCAATAAATAAAATAATATATTAAAGAATTAAAAAATTAAAAAGAAAGATGTTACCTAACCTCCGAGTTGTTGAATCGGGTTATGTCTTAGCGCAGGAAAAAAAGGAAAATAAATTGTTTGTCTTTAAATTTGTCTGGCTAATTGGCTCGGCCATGATACTATGAATAACAAGATAAGATCTTCCCGTAGCTCAAAATCGGTCGGGTTCGCGCATGCCGTCATTGGAGACTAGAATTTGAATTCTTGTTAAAGTTAAATGAGATTTGTATGCATTCTGTGATGAAATTACTAGACGAAAATAAGTTAAGAGGTTTAATAATTACAATAATCGTACACATAAGGATATCTTCAAACTATTTATTAAAGATTATTTATTGATATATACAAAAACTGACATTTCGAACGTGCAAGTCTCCATTGACGTCACAAAAACATGCGCAATATCTTATCTTATAGTCATAGTATCATGGGCTCGGCTAAGGCCATCAAACTAAAATAAAAAAAAATGGTTTTTGATTTTTTGTTGGTCAATTTCCCTTCCAGTAGCTTCTTGTGTTACTACGTGTATTTGGGTTTTTATGTTTCCATATGGTTCTTCATTTATTTTCCCTTGTAATTCCTTTCTTTCATTTTTTATGCTAAATGTAATATTTTTTAATTAGAACTAAAATTTAAATCAATGCGAAATAAGAATATAATGTCTAGTCAATATGGCTGCATATGTATGCTACTATAGCACAAATCAGGTGACAGAAGATGAACGAACTTTTTGACATATTTCCAATGTTTTCCCCTTAGGTTTTCCCGCGTTGTTTTGTTTTTATTGATTACTGTCATAATTGTTTATTATTAATACGCATTAGATTATTCACATTAACATAGTTTAGAGTTTGCAATTTTGCAAGTGCGGTTTGCATCTATGATTCATAACATGCAATTTGTTAGTCAATTAGAGATAAAGTGGTAGATAAGATTTATACATTATGAGAAAATGCGGAAATTAAAAAATGTTACTCCTGATAAACTTACAATCATATATTGTTGATTATTATTCTAAGCAAAAAGCATTGAATATCATGGAGGATAAATCTACAAATCAACATCTACAAGTGGCAAAAAGTAAATTTGTTCATATAATTCAAAGTAAGTAAAGAATGCAATACTTTGTTATTTGGTTATTTCATTTCATAACAATTAGAGCTAATATTGTATCAAATAATATAGACGCGATTGTATATATAGTTGATAATACTGTTAACCATTTACTTTTTTATACTTACATCACAATTTTTATGTTGAATTATCTTTGAAGTACCTGGAAATAATTCTGGGAATACCATATTAGTCTGAAATTTTAAGTGGATTGTGGTTTACTTTTGATTCATCTTACAATACATATTTCAAGTTGAGTTAATGGAGAGTTTGAGGACTATAAATATCAAATTCAGTAGAGGATCAAAGACAAATCATATTTTATGTTAACTTGAATTACCTTTCTATATTTTACTGTTTGTGTGTGATTGAGTGACCAAGTATTTTTTTATCTAATAATCATTTAATTGGATTCTACATTAATGACTAATTCTGGTAAATTCACACAAATCATAAGAAGTGTGTTCACATTTTGTACTGATGGGTCAAAAACACAAGAGGGAATAATATCCCTGCACTGTTTAAAACAGAGCTGCTCAGCTTTGGCTAAAATATTTATTGTCCTTGACAGTCAAACTGCACTGAAGGTACTGAAGTTTACAACTTGTGAGTTAAGTCAACAGCTTGGAGTTGCAACTTCCTTGAGCTACGGAGAGGGTGCAATAAAGTTACTCTACTGTGGGTGCCAGAGCATAAAGAACTTGTTGGTAATGGGATTGCTTAAGGAGGAGCACTACTCTTTTTATCAGAAGAGAACCATTCTGGAGTGTACCAAAAACACACTCCACAGTGGAAGAGAAATGGGATCCTTAAAATTGTGTTGTACAAATAGTTTATTTAATATATTTTTGACACTGATCGTGTGGTTTTGTTGAGATAATAAATTAGTTTATAAGTTGTAGTTAAAAATTTAACAAAAATTATTCTTTTTTGTATTTCTGAGTGACATAGTCATTTCTTGAAATAAAAATTTTAGGTAAATTAATAATTGTGTATTGACATAGGCAATTTAATACAAATTATCTGTGATACATATTCTACTTAAAAATAAAAATGGGCAAGTAGATTCCTAGTGTTTACATATCATCTTCATATATGTGCCCGTCAGTTAAATATTCATCATCTACAGCTTGGGCTAGTGCTGGTCTAGGAAAAATACATTAATAAAAGTACCTGCTTGATACAGAAATGTAAAGCATTAAGTCCTTGAGGTCTTTAATTTTTTATCTGATAGTGGAATTCTCTAATTGGTTAGTGGGGTTAGCATAACTTCGCATGGACTACTGCTTGATGCAAGCCCAGACAGTTGAGCTGAATGTGTAGCACACATTGCTTTCCTTCTTGATAAATCTATTACCTTAAAATAATCTGAATCAAAAGAAGTTAAATAAATAAATAAATAGTTTAATTACGGTTATACCAATTACAATCATTAAATAAATCATATCATATTAACAATTTTAGAATTCAATAATAATTACATACAATTTACACAAGACAAATAAATAGAATAAATACATAAATGACAGTTTACAGTGACAGCCTACATTGTATTTTAAAAAGATTTTTTCAGCTTTTTTCGAAAACTATTCAGAGAGCTAGAAAAAAGTTTACATCTAAACCATTTCCAGATTGACACATTCGTCTTATAGGTCTATTTAGACAATAGTTTGTTTGTTGGAATTCTAAGTGAAAAACTTCCTTGGATCTTGTGCATCTTTGAGGAACCCTAAGACCTATTATCTGCAAAATTTGAGGCGAATCTATCATTCCGTTTACAATCTTGAAAAGAAAAACCAAATCTAACATTAAACGACTATTTTCTAATGTTGGTATATTAAGTAATTTTAAAATGTCACAATACACTATATCTTCTGAAGAAAAAATTTTTTCTGAACTTTCTCAATGTTTTCAATATGACATTTATATAAAGGAGACCAAATAGTGCTGGAATATTCCAGAACTGATCTAATCATAGAGCAATACACACTTTTAAAACAATCTAGGTTATTGAATTCTGACATGGTTCTTTTTAAAAATCCAAGTAATTTAAAAGCTTTATTACAAATAAAATTGTAGTGATTTTTGAAACCTAAAGTGGAATCAAAAAATACACCTAAATCTTTGGAAGTGTTTGTTGGTTCCAGAAATATATTATTTATAGGGTAATTAAAACAGATAGGTTGTGAGTTTCTAAAAAAGTGCATTATTTTACATTTATCGATATCAAGTGAAAGGTCATTCTTTGTACACAATTGTGAGAAATTGTTTACATCTTTTTGCATTTTTACACAGTCTCTAACATTCTTAATAATTTTAAAAATTTTCAAATCATCAGCATACAACAAAATAACACAATTTTCAAAGATTTCTAAAATGTCATTTATGAAACAAATAAAAAGAATAGTTGATAAATGACCACCCTGTGGGATGCCAGACCTAACCAAAAACATTTCAGAAAGTCACAGTTCTTGACTTTGACAACCTGAAGCCTGTCTGTCAGGTAGCTCTCCAACCACTCAAGCAGGGATCCATGAATTCCTAGTGCCTCTAGTTTTTTTATAAGAATCTTGATGTTAACACAATCAAATGCCTTTAGAGAAGTCGGTATAGATCACATCGACCTGAGTCCCCATCTTATGTGAAGCCAGGAAATATTTTCATTATAATGTTTAGTTTGCGATGCATGTAGTGACTTTTTAGAATTTGTGAGAAATTCAGGAAATCTTTTTGTTCCATTTCTATAAATTCAATACAAGGATTTCTCAGAACCATTCAAATTAAGTTTGTCCACTCTCTGGGTACTTCTATTTTGACAGTTGTTGTATATTTCTTGACTTTTTCAATAGCTGCATGAGTTGTATCCTCTTCTTGATGAGTATGACCAGGTTCAAGAAATTTGTGATTGATCACAAGATCTCTTCCATTTCTGTTAAAATCTTATATCAAAAGAGAGAACATAACAACAACATAAATATTTCTTGTTTGTCCTGAACAGCAGTCACTGTACTTATTTATTTGATTAATATTTGCCGATAAGGAAAATATATATTGTCTCAAACAGGATGCTATTTCTTGTCCACTTCTAGCGTCTCTTGATTTATCGCAAACGTAACAAATGGAATGTTTATTTTTATATATGCAACTGTAGATAGTGAGGTTTAAAGTCCATAATGATGTTTTATAAAATAAAATATTGTTTCGAAGCATCAGTCTAGCTAAGCATTTTTCTAAATCAAATGAAAAAAATACAACTCTTTCAGAATTACAGATTTAGAATTTATTATTTTTTTTCTTCTTGTATGCTCAATCTGCAATGACAAGATGCTGGCTATAATTATCTTTATGAACTGCTTGTTCTTGTGAATCAGAAGTTGTATCAGTTATTGAATTATACCGATCGCACTTTGCACAAGTATCATTAGAAGTGAAATGACAAGTTAAATTTTTCGGTGAATATTTTTCTATAAAATGACTCTAGTTCAGGTGTTACATTGTGGGAACTACAATGATTTTTGTATAGCCGATACAGTTTCGAAATATTTAATCTTCTATTGTTGTAACTGCTTCGTCAGTGACTTTTTGTTGGCATCCATGCTTTGGTCTTCAGGGCAGATACCACTTGTACAGTCTCTTTTCTTCTTAGCTAATACTTTTATTTTTCCTGGTTTTATATCGAGAGTATTTAAAAACATAGTACGGCAAACTAACTTTGTGTCGCTCATTATTTAGAAAATAAAAAATTGTAAACTGTCTTTTGTTTGGTGTCAATTGTGTCGAAGTTTTTCAACTTTTTTTTTCAACTTCATTAAAATTCTGACCAATAAACTGATTTTGAGAATTTACGTTTAGAGCATAAAATTTCTGTTTACATGAGCAAGCAGGTTTTAAAAATTTTACAGAAACAAACATATTTGACATTGAAAAATAAGGGTTTCGATTGTTTCTTGCATCCCGGCGCTTTATTATCTTCAAATTTGACATAGAGGCTACACAAATTTCAAATATAAAATAACCCTTAATCAAACGTTGCGATGTTGCCAGTGCAAAAATCATACATTTAAACAAGAAGTGACTATTACGACATAGGCAGTTCTGACATTAAAAATAAGTAAGTAAGTAAATTATAATGGAATGTCTCGCAACACAGAAAACCAAAAAGGTATATTGGTGGAAGGCAACCATATATATACATATTTCTGACTATTGGTCGTCTTCAGTACGGTGCAGCCAAGTTAGAATATGAGCATACTAACTTGGGAAAGGATCACTACAGGAACAATGCTACCACTCTTAGAAGAACCTGACGGTTTCTAGGGCAACAACTAACAATAACCACAGAGGAAGCTATAGCTACCTGGGGAAAGGAATGCCAAATGTTAAAACATTTAAAACAAATGGAGAAGGATAATGCGAGTGAATAATAAAAGTAAAATGTAATGGCATAAACTGTAATGGCAGAAAACCAAAAAAGGCATATTGACGGAAGACAACTCTATATACATATTTCTGTCTATTGCCTTCCATTGATACCTTATGCCATTAAATTTTATTTTATTATTCACTTTCATTATCCTTTTCCATTTATCAGTGGCGCAGCCAGGGGGGTTTTGGGGGTTAACCCCTCCCCCAGGGCACTATATATATATATATATATATATATATTATATATATATATATATATATATATATATATATATCTATATATATATATATATATCTATATATATATATATATATATATATATATATTATATATATATATATATATATAAAATAAAGATCACTTGAAGAGTGGTGGGTTTTTCGGTCAAACTATGGAGAGAAAAAAGACAAGGAAGGTGGCTACTTCATTTATTAATTGAAGACGTTTCGCTTTCAAATCAGAAAGCATCATCAGTTTATCTAAAAAGAACAATATGAAAAACCAAAGTCCAACATGAGCTATATATCAACCACAGCTACATGTCTTTTTGAGGTTACATGTTTGGTTTTTCATATTGTTCTTTTTAGATGAACTGACGATACTTTCTGATTAGAAAGCGAAACATCTTCAATAAATAGATGAAGTAGCCACCTTCTTTGTCGTTTTTCTCTCCACCTTTTGACTGAAAAACCCACCATTCTATGAGTGATCCTTAAATTATATGTACATATATAGCAGAAAATACGACCGTTAATTAAATTTGAAAGCTATTCAATGGTTAAATAGTAGAGGTTTTATCGGTAGATAGTTGGCAAATGAAAGTCGTCAATTACTTCATTGATTTATTTGAATATGTTTCGCTTTTATTTTCAAAAGCATCATCAGTTCACTACAAATAAAAAAGATCTTATAATATTATAAGTTAACAACGAACAGGGTTCATACTTACAAAAACAATTTGTAGGTTTTTTTTGATGTTATAAAAACTCTATCATAACTTAACATTAAAGATTAACAACTAAATGAGAAAAAAGAAACAAAAAACTCAAGAAAAACTGTAAAAGAGCACTATTGTTCATTTAATTTTGACCGATGGGTCTATTTGAATGTTGGTTTAAGCTCGTTGAACGGTCAAACCAGACTAATCTTGTCGATTGTTTTCTATCGGTTGTAGGATGTCATAATTTCACATGTGGATTGTGCTTGTAGGTGTTTATTTGGAATGCAGGGAGGTACGATTATCGAGTTAATTGGTGAAGGGAAAGGGGACCGACCTTTTTTTTAAAAAGGATTCATTTATTATTTTTCTTTTTTCTTATAAAAAAGGGGTTAATGAGGTTAATGTATTAAGGGGTTTTATTTGTTTTGTATGATGAGAGAGTGATATCTGGCTCAAGTTGTCGATGTCGGTACTTTTATTTAGGGACGCTGGATGTTTTAGAATTTGGCACATTTCAAGGATGGATCGCTTGTGATAATTTTGTTGTTTGTACAGTATTTTGGTATTCGTGAAATCGATACTGTGTTTGGTTTAAATAGCATGTTGTGCAAGGGCACAACATGGTTTGGAAATCCTAATGTCGCTTTTGTGGGACGTTAGTCGACCTTGAAGAGAGCGGCTGGTCTGGCCAATATAGCACGAGTTGCACTCTGCACAGGGTACATGATAGACGACATTAGTTTGTTCTAGAGGGGCCAATGGAGTTTTTGTCTTCGAAAATAGCTTTCCCAAGGTTCTGGTGTTTTTTAAGGCTATTTTAACAGGTAAGTTTTTGAAAAGTTTGTTAAGCTTATTAGTGATTTGTGGGAAGTACGGGAGCGAAGCATATTTTGTGGTTTGTTGAGGAGTGAGAGGGGACTTACTCATCTGTATTCTGTTAGAAATGGACGCTAATGTTAGCCCGTTGGGTGTTTTAATAATGGACTGCCCATAGCTTTTGGAATATAGAAATTTATTGATGATGGATGCCGGATATGAGTTATCTATGAGAATGGACTTCAGTAGATTGAGAGATTCTTCTTTATAAAGCGGGTGTGTCAACATGTGTACTCTAAGGTCAAGGGCTTGTACCAGGTTAAATTTATATCTTATTGGGTGTGTCGAATTCTAATTTAAGAAACGGTTGCTAGCCATTTCTTTTCTGTACCAGGTAGTGACTAATCTGTTATCCGGTGTGTGAGTAATTCGCATATCTAAAAACGGGATACTGTTATCAACCCCAAATTCACATGTGAATTGTAGGTGAGTATCAAAGCAGTTAAAAACTGATAAGGTGTACACCGTTTTGTCCGGTGGTGGTGTATAATATTGTTCAAAAGCCTGCCATACCATCATTGTAACTATGGCACATAAAACAGGCTTTGACTGACAGTATGAGTTATGATGGCTTTGAAGATTGCTGTGATTTGGGGTTTATTCCCATAGACCTTTGGCTTAAAAAATCTCACAAAAAGAGTCTAATAGTGTCAAATCACATAATCTTGGTGGCATTCACATCACCTCCACGTGTGGAGGCCAATTAGCTGAATTATTGCTGATAATTGCTGAAAACTAATTAGATTATCTTTTACAAGGACCAGAAAGTGTACCGCCACCACCGATTGGACCAGATAGGCTACCCTTTCCTTTTCCAGTTTATGAAAATCCAGGTGAGTAAATGACATTTCAAAACATTTTTAATTGGGAAAACCGCAGCTGAACATACTATCTAGGGTAAAAATTTCAGCACTTGGCATTCCTTTCCCCTAGAAGCTGTAGCTTCCTCTGTGATTATTGTTAGTTGTTGCCCTGGAAACCATCAGAGTCTTACTAACTCTAATGCCACAAATTGGTCGCATTGCTCCTGTAGTGATCCTTTCCCAAGTTAAGATGTTCCTTTTCTAATTTGACTGCACTGTACTGAAGACGACCGATAGTCAGAGATATGTATATATGGTTGCCTTCCATCGATAAACCTTATGCCATTACATTTTAATTTTATTATTCACTTGCATTATGTCTTCCGGATGCATAATGTATGTATATGTATATATATATATATATATATATATATATATATATATATATATATATATATATATATATAAGGATCACTCTGACGAGTGGTGGGTTCTTATATCGGTCTCTAGGTGGAGAAATAAAAGACAAAGTTGATAGGCTTCTTTATCTATTTTGAAGACGTTTCGCTTTCGAGTTTTGAAAGCATCATCAGTTCATCTAAAAATTTTTACAATATGAGAACCACACAATCATGGAAACGATGTTAATTGTTACCTTAAAAAGATATGTAGCAGTCAATGTTATTAACAATAATGTGAATGAAACTAAGTAAATGGACATAATACGCTGATTTTGTATAAACAGTTAAGTAACTAACAACATATATGAACTTATAAAAAATTAGCACAGCAAATGACCATGTGGTCTAAAGTAAATTCAATGTTATTTAATGTTAATTAGTGAGTAAGAACCAAGAAAATCATAGATAACTTCCAACTATTTAATGAATATTAAGCTTTGATTTTAACTTTAGGTAGCATTATAAGTGATATTAATAAAATTTTAAAAAGTAGTATAAATGAAGTTACCGATCAAAGCCCTATGAATGTCGCCGGGAAAATGGCGTTTAATGAAACAGGAACGAACTAAACCGCGAAAAGACAGCCAACCTTGAGGTCAAAAATACTTTCGACAGATCAACAAGGTGTAGGTACCAACCCAAATTTTGGGGGGTCAATTTAAGTTTAAATGAGTTTGGATGACTACCCGCTTGCAAAAGACAACACAGTGAAAAAAGTTGGTAGTGTAATTGAGATATTTATGTATTTTATTTCTATTTTATGTATATAAATTATTTTATGAAAAATGGAAAAAGGTTCAAATAGTACACCTAATATGACATTAATGTAGTGAAAAGATCAAGTAGCCTAATTCTGCAAAATTAAAGCATGATATATTTGGCTCAAGTTACTTATGTCAGTTCTCTTATTCAAAGCATTAGGGTGTTTTAATATTGAACACATTTCCAAAAACTGTCTTTTAGCTAGATTGCGTTCAGTGGCAAGGATCTTAACTTCATTGAAATCCACTTCATGTTTTGTATTTATCGCATGTTGTGCTAGGGCACAAGTGTGTTTAGATAAATTAATGTCACTACGATGTGAAGTGAGACGACCTTTTAATGATCTACCAGTTTGACCAATGTAACATAAATCGCAATTAGCGCATGGAATTTTATAAATTGTGTTCACTTGTTCCAAAGTGGACAAGGGTGTTTTAGTTTTAAAGAACAAATTTCTAACAGTTTTGGCATTCTTAACAGCAATTTTAACAGGTATATTATTTTGTTTATACAATTTAATAAGCTTCTCAGTAACTTGAGGGAAATAAGGTAAAGAAGAATAATGTGTGATAGTATTCTTATTAATTACTATTTATAACTGGGAATAAGCCACAATTAAAGATAAAAAATACGTTTATTGACGTTTCAATTTCCAATTCGGAAATCGTTCTCAAAATACAAACAGTAAATTAAACAAATTTTGTTTTTTGTTACATAGTGAAAAAATTCTTCTAATAATTTAATTTTATCTGACTCATTTATATTGACAATTCAGACATACATTATGTATTTTAAAGTAGACGACTTTAAAATGATATTGCCAATATTGTTGAGTTGCGCTCCTGGGACGACTTTACTATAAGATAGTTCATTCGATTACATGAAATCAACTTTAACTTGAGAATATCCGTCAGAAAAAATCATGCATGTAATTCGTCTTTAAAAAGACAAATACATGACATGATGACAGTAAAATTCTCCTGTTAGTGATTCCATAGTAAATTATGAGGGAAAAACCAGGAAAATTATATTAAAAACAGAGAATTTGATAGATCTCAAATATGTAAACACGCATGGGATAATGAACATAGGGTTCAATGGAATAATTCAAATATAGTCCTAAAAGAAACGGATGGTAAAAAAAGAAAAATCAAAGAAGCGGCTCTAATTATGCTAAATGAGGCCAATTGTGTCGCAAATTCCTCGGCAGAATGTAGCAGGATCTGGTTACCAATATTGAAAGAGGAAGTTATTAATAAGAAAATACCAGTATTAGTAAGTCAGTAAACATATAGAGGATACATCATTTATGTTTTTTAAATAACGTAACATATAAAATCAGAATTTTGATGTTTGTTGAAGGTAAACTAAATTCACGAACAAATACTTACAATGTCGGGATAGTATTATGAGGTTTTTTTCCTGGTTTTTTCCCTCATAATTTACTATGGAATCACTAACAGGAGAATTTTACTGTCATCATGTCATGTATTTGTCTTTTTAAAGACGAATTACATGCCATGATTTTTTCTGACGGATATTCTCAAGTTAAAGTTGATTTCATGTAATCGAATGAACTATCTTATAGTAAAGTCGTCCCAGGAGCGCAACTCAACAATATTGGCAATATCATTTTAAAGTCGTCTACTTTAAAATACATAATGTATGTCTGAATTGTCAATATAAATGAGTCAGATAAAATTAAATTATTAGAAGAATTTTTTCACTATGTAACAAAAAACAAAATTTGTTTAATTTACTGTTTGTATTTTGAGAACGATTTCCGAATTGGAAATTGAAACGTCAATAAACGTATTTTTTATCTTTAATTGTGGCTTATTCCCAGTTATAAATAGTAATTAATTTACAATGCCACAAGAAAATAGCTTCAGAACAGTATTCTTATTATTAATTGATTCATAGAATCCTTTGCAAATCACAGTTCCAAGTATATTGAACCTTGGGCTGTTTGGAAATTAACGAATCGTTAACCACCTGTGGCTGTTTAACTAGCCATAATGATTAACGTTATTACATACTTATGAGGTTGAATGAAAATCTCCTGTTTGTAAATTTGGACTGATTAGTGAGGGGAGTTGCTATTACACTACCAACTTTTTTCACTGTGTTGTCTTTTGCAACCGGGTAGTCATCCAAACTCATTTAAACTTAAATTGACCGTCCAAAATTTGGGTTGGTACCTACACCTTGTTGATCTGTCGAAAGTATTTTTGACCTCAAGGTTGGCTGTCTTTTCGCGGTTTAGTTCGTTCCTGTTTCATTAAACGCCATTTTCCCGGCGACATTCATAGGGCTTTGATCGGTAACTTCATTTATACTACTTTTTAAAATTTTATTAATATCACTTATAATGCTACCTAAAGTTAAAATCAAAGCTTAATATTCATTAAATAGTTGGAAGTTATCTATGATTTTCTTGGTTCTTACTCACTAATTTACATTAAATAACATTGAATTTACTTTAGACCACATGGTCATTTGCTGTGCTAATTTTTTATAAGTTCATATATGTTGTTAGTTACTTAACTGTTTATACAAAATCAGCGTATTATGTCCATTTACTTTGTTTCATTCACATTATTGTTAATAACATTGACTGCTACATATCTTTTTAAGGTAACAATTAACATCGTTTCCATGATTGTGTGGTTCTCATATTGTAAAATTTTTTAGATGAACTGATGATGCTTTCAAAACTCGAAAGCGAAACGTCTTCAAAATAGATAAAGTAGCCTATCAACTTTGTCTTTTATTTCTCCACCTAGAGACCGATATAAGAACCCACCACTCGTCTGAGTGATCCTTATATATATATATATATATATATATAATATATATATATATATATATATATGTTAGTTTGAAGTGTTTCACGGATGGAGTAATATGTTGAACAATTATTCCGGGAAAATATCCGTTGGTCATTTTTTAATTGCAGACGTTTCGCCAAGGTCTCACTTGGCATCTTCTGTGCGTTGTCTTCGGTCTCGTAGTCGGTAACTGAATGAGCTGCGCTCAGTCCTCACTTCTTTTATATCGTGCGCTGTTCGAGCGGATCGTCGCTGATTGGCCGTATTCGTTACGCCGCTAGGCCCCGCCCCCTGGGGAGCGAAGCTCAGGCAGTCAGTTTGATGTTGGCGTCTCGAGATTATGGACTTCCAAGCTTGGGGCAGATTTAAGGAGTCGTCACGTTTGTTAAGAAGACCTTCTTTTTCAATTTCTATAGATTCTCTGATGGTTCTTGTTTTGAAGTGTTCAATGTTGGCTATTTGTTTGCAACTTTCGAAGTTTATTTTATGGCCTGTGTTATGCTCGTGTTGAAATAGAGCAGATGTTAGCTGTCTGTTGCGAATTGCTAGTTTGTGTTCCTCTAATCTTGCGGAAATTCTCCTGTTGGTTTGTCCGATGTAGGTTTGGTGACAGGTTCCACATGCAATTTTGTAAACACCCTGATTTTCCAGTTTGGTTGCATCTTTGGGGTTTCTTAAGATCGATCGAACTGTTTGCTTCGGTTTGTAGATTGTCGATATGTTCTTTTTTCGGAGAATGCGCCCTATCTTGTCGGTGGTTCCTTTCACGTATGGTAGAATAGCTCTTGGTTGATTTTTGTTGTCTTCTTGTGTGTTTTGTGTGGTCTTCCGTTGTTTCTTTATTGCTTTGTAGATGGTGTTTGAGCTGTATCCATTTTGTTTCAGTATTGTTTTTATGTTCTTGAGCTCTGCATTTCTATGTGTAGTACAGGTCAGGCTATTTGATCTTGATATCAGAGTGTCAGCTACTCCTTGT